TCCTTCCCCGTTCTCCACCTACTCCATATTGAAAGATTCCTTTCTCCTGCCCCTGCTCACAAAGCGCATCCGCCTCCTCGTCCTCCTCCTCCTCCTCCTCCTCCTCCTCCTCCTCGTCCTCGTCACCATCATCATGTTCAATGTCCTCAGTGGCTTAAATCCGGTGGGTCTCCTGAGACCGTACCGCAGCCGACGTCTACGCAGGAACTCTTCAAAAAAACGTCGGCGGCGAACGGCTACCCTCGGCCCAAGACCAGCCGGGGGCTCCGCGGGTCAAACAGGCAAAGACACGTAAGCCAGGGCGAGGCACGGCTGTCTTAAACCATGTTGAAAACGCGGCGCCCAATTAGGGGGCCGGGGAACCACCACTGCAGGTTAGACTGAGGCTCCCTCCCCGCTCGAAGTTTATCCAAAGCCTCCTTGGCCAGCCGATGAGCTGGATGGCACTCGGTGCGCAACAGATGTGTCAGCCGTCGGGCGTTCGCCGGGGCAGCGATTGCACAAGGCAGTGGCTTCCTGCCTCTTGGCTCCCATCGGTCCTGGCCCCCCCGACGACGACGGACCCCCCCACACAAGCCCCGACGACATCGAACGACCCAGGAACCCATGGGAACAGTAGGCCAAGGCAGCGGGACTCAGGACCCCGATGCACGGGAGAAATACGACCTTTGCACCAATGGCTATACGGATCCCGAATTTGAAACATCCCCAGGCTCGCCTACGACGCTCTAACGTGTGCCCGTTGTGAGACCTCTCGGGCTTAAGACGAATGCCGTCTGGGGGCCCGCAAGGCCTGGGAGAGGGCCCTTGTCAGGCCAATCCAGGCCCGCGAGATGCTGCAGCACGCGCCCGTGATGAATCAGAAGTTGTTCAGCCGCTTCGTGAGCTGCAGCGAATCGCGCCTCGCACTCAGGGAGCCCAGTCTGCGGGCGAAACCGCAACCCCAACCTGGCCTGCCGATCCAGATCCTCGTTGTCGGTGTGGCGGCGTCAGCTCGCCCCCAGCAGCTCGGCCACTCGCCAGGGCGCGCGCGCTTCCACCCGCACGAGGGAGACCTGATCTCGCCTGGCACCGTTCACAAGGAACCAGAACTCGCGCCAAAGGCCGGCATACTTGCGCAGAGCAATATTCTTCGCTAAGAAGCTGGAAGTCGTCGACGACGCCTTCACAATCGCCCACGATCGCCACGTGGCCGAGCCCCTTCTTACGAAGGGCCGTGACCACCGCGCGTAGCTCAGCGTGCCCGATCTCCTGGTAGTCACCAGGCACGCAACCGCACGTGCCACCGAGGATGCGCCCATCAGCCGCGATGGCCACAACCGACCAGCCTCTGCGAGCCATCAGCGCGCATCGCGGGCACGTGGCGGAGCTGTCGACGCACGCGCTGTTGCCTATCCACATCTGCCTGAGACTGACCCCAGCGTGGAGGCAGATCTCGGTCCGAGACGGCCGGGCCGCCTCGTCCAGCTCCAGGTCGACCAGCCTGCGCAGCGCCCCCAGGTCGATGGGAGGAGCGGCCCCACCCGCGGCCCTGACGCGGGCTTGGCCCATGTCTCTCGCCAGCCCGCAGGTCGCGTCGCAGCAGGGAAGCCCGCGGCGCGTGGCGCCCAAGGCAGCGCGCGCCACTGGCACCGCGGGTCGAGCCACAAGTGGCCTTACATTGCGACGCCGCTATCTCGAGGTCCCCGGCCCCGCGCAGCGCGTGGGGCCCTGCGCGCAGCGCCTCCAATCCAGGCGGCCGCGGCCGAAGCGCCCCGAAGCCCCCGTGCTCGGTCGCCTGCCTCGCCGGGCCCCGAGTCGTGCCAGCCTCGACTAGGCGGCCGCGAACTTCGGGCTATACCTCGCCGGGTCCACCTGCAGGCCGTTGCCCGTGGCCCGCGCGCCCCGCGCCGTGAACTGCCATCCGATCCGCTCGAGCGTCAGCTTCGCAGCCGCGGTTGCCCCCCGCGCCTCGACCCACGTGGTCGCGCCCGAGGCGGGCGACCGTCAGCGCGGTAGGCTTCCTGGTTCTGGTGAAGACCACCTTGGACCAGGCCGCAAGGGGGGGGGGGGCCGAGGCGGCGCAGAAAGGGTCGCGCCTCCAGCAGTCGCCCCCGCGCGTCGCGAACCGCGGCGCCCGCGATCTCCGCCCTGCCTCGCCGCCAATGGCGCGGGCGTCGGCGGCGCGCACTACCGCGGCGCCATGGCGGGCGCTCCCCGCGCCCGCGCGCCGCGCGGCGCCAGAGCGAGGCCGTCCGCGCGGAGGATCCCCCCCAGCTTTGCGCCAGACCTTCCGCATCGCCATGAACCGCGAGGCGCGCCTGCCGAGCTCCCGATGCCTGGCCCGCAGCGCGCCGCAGCGAGCGCGGTTGCCCACGCCGAAATCGACGCCGAGCACGCGGGCCGAGCTGCGGAGCTGGAACTTCCACTAACCCTCTGGCCAGCGCCCAAATCGCCGCTCAGGACATTGCCCTTCGTAGGCGAGGTTTTGAACTCGATCCGCTCGAGCTTCGCGCAGCGGGCGTCCGCGCCTCTGTAGAATGCCATCTCTGCGTCGCGGAGCCCGCCGTGCGCCGCCAGCGCGAGGTCGCCCACAACCTCGCGCGGCCTGAGTGACGGCCGCGCCGCCATCAGGGCGTCGAGCGGGCTCGGCAAGACCGCGCGGGACAGCGTCGCGGCGAACCTGCAGCCCACGACGGTGGAGAGCCCCATCTGGGAACGGACAGACACCCACCGACTGGCGCACAGCCTCCGCCGTATATCTTCAACAACAATTTGGGCCCCTCGTCGGGAAGCGGCGCCGCCTGTGCACTGCCGCCAGCCCCCTGCGCGCGGCCCGCTCGCAAGCCTTGCGCGGGTCCAGCACGGGTGCCAGGCTGTGGAGCTGCAGCGCCTCGGCGTGCTCCGCGTCGAAGGCCTGGTCCCAGATGGCGTCCTCGCAGGGGCGCCCGGCGCCGCCGTGGAAACTTCTCAGCGCCTCTCCCACTCATGGGCCTTCTCGAGCCTCGCGTGGCCTAAGAGTCGGACCAGGCCACGCGGCGGGCCCGTCGGGCGCCGACCGCCGTCGGGCCCGGCGAGGAAGAAAATGAACACCTCCTCGGCCTGCGACGGCGCCTACGGCAGATACTCGATCCAGCGCAGCGGCAAGCAGAGCGACTCCAAGCCGCCGTCAATGAGGTGCCCGAACGTGGACGGCTTGAGGCAGACGATCCCCGTCGCTGCGGCCGCCTTGAACTTCGCCGCGGCCACCGCGACGTTGCCGATCGTCGTCGAACCTGGACAGTCCTCCAGCGGGTCGGGCGTCGGCGCCTCGCCCAGGTCCAGCAGCGCCTCGAGTGGCCTGGCGAACTCGCCGCGCGCCGTGTCCAGGCCGAGCTGCGCCGCCGACGCTGTCTGCGCCTCCTCGCCGAAGCCCTCGTCGCTGGCCACCCCGCCCAGCTGCGACCACCCTGATGGCGGGAGCGGCGGATCCGCCGAGGGGTGGCCAGTCTGAGCGTGGGTTTCGCTGCCTCCGCGCGCTGCCGCAGCGCTGGTCGGGGGCCGCCCGGGGGGCCGCCGAGACCCAATAATGCGCCGCCGCGGAGGCCGCCGGCGCGGCCCGGGTTGCGGGCCCAGAGGCCGCTGGCTCGGCCAGAGACCCGAGGCACTCAACTTCAACTCCCTGCTGGCTCGATTTCTGGGCCGCCGGGGAGGGCGCTGGAACCGCCGGACCGGCCGCCGCCGGCATCGCTGGGTGCGCCGGGGAGGGCGTCAGCACCGCTAAAGCGACCCGCGCCCGTAGCTTCCTGACCTTCTCCCACCGAGCGCCGAGCATCCAGTCCCTTGAACTCGTCAGCCGAGCGGCGCAGCACCCTGGGCAGCGGTTCCCAATCGGGCGGCTCGCGCCTGGGGCCGACAGGCCGCCTCAATGGGAACGCATTCGGCGCGCGCATGACCAGCTGCTGTTCGTCCTGCTCCTTGCCGCCGAGCTCCAGCCCAACCTCGTAGTGGGCCGAAAGCGTGCAGCTGCGCCTCCTGCAGCTCCTGACCCGACTGGCGAGGCCCGTACTGACCACGAGGAAGTCGATCTCCGATCCGCCTCCGATCCTGCAGGGGTTCCGGCGGCAGCTAGCGATCATCCCGCCGAGCTTTTGCAGCGCCTCCACGTACTGCGCGCCTAGGAACGCTTGCGCCAGAAGCTGCTTGCCCCCCGAGATCTCGTTGGGCGCCTCGGGCTCGGGCGCTGCGCCCCCATTGCTGGCGTACCCGCTCGAAGTCCACCTGCGCCGCGTCGTGGACCTCCTGCGCCGCCGTGCGCTCGGCCTGAGCCTGCGTCCATGCCAGCTGGGCCTATATGAGCGCGTCCACGGCTGCGTCGGCCATCTTCCTGGCCCTGTTGAACTTGCCCTGAGCCTTGTCGTCGCGCCACGTCGTGGTCTGCATCACCGAGGAGTGCGTCTTCGGTTTCGGCTCAGGGGGAGCATATGCGGCAGGCTTGAGCTTGAACCTGTCCTCAGCAGACATGGCGATACCGTGGGCCTCGAGCGCAAAAAACGAAGTGGTTTTCCGTAGCAGCGGAGGCGCGGGCTTTTCGGGCAGCCTCGCAGCGGCACCCCTCGCACCCCCATCAGCAGCCTCGGCCCCCGAGGCCTCCTGTCCATTCTTCTTCTTTTTGCCAACACCTCTGCCCCATGCCGTCGAGCTTTTCCGCGCCAGCTGTTGCCGTGAGCGCCCGCTGGAGAGACGCCAGCGGTGCCCCTTTCCCGCACGAACGGCACGCCAGGCGGCTAGCCCAGTGATGCGCCTCTCCACACGAGCCCCCCCAGGGTGGCCTTCGCGGGCCAGGGAGCACCACCGCCGCGCTGTCGGGGGCAGCCCGACCAGCGAACTGCGCGTGCCACGGGGCGGGCCCCCCACGCACGGCGCTGTCGTTTGCCGCCGCCACCTGCGCCGCCGCCTTTGCCTCCACGGGAAGGCGGCTGGCCATCGCGAGCTGTCATACACGATCTCTCTAATGTGGCTCCTGCAAAAGCCGTTCTGAATCACGCCTGCAAAAGCTCCTCGACCGCAGTCTTGGGAGCCAGAACGGCTATCCTCCTCCTCCTCCTGCTCCTCCTCCTTCTCCTCCAAATCCCCGCCCGGGATGGAGAGGCAGAGTGGCAACGACAGGGAGGGCGAGGGGAAAGGAGGGAGAGGGGCAAGAAGGCAAGGAGAGAGGGACAGGGAAAGAGGGAGAGAGGGGTGTAAGAGGGGGGTAGCAGAGAGAGAGAGAGACAGAGACAGAGCATGTCTGCATGATGAGGAGCAGCAGCGGGAGACAAACAGATCCGAAGATCAAAGCATCCGCTGGACGCTGCTCTGCAGCCTTCCGGCCTGAGCCCCCCGCACGACCGCTCCACGACTGTCTTCCCGTGCCATGTCACGTCGGCCATCCTCACTTTCGGGGGTGCCCGAAAGCAGGTTGCCTTAAAGGAGCGGGAAGGAGCCGAGAGAGTAGAGGAGAAGGAGGAGGGAGGAGGAGGAGGATGAGGAGGAGGAAGAGGAAGAGGAGGAGGAGGAGGAGGAGGAGGAGGAGGAGGAGGAGGAACGAGGAGGAGGAGGAGGAGAAGGAGGAGGAGAAGGAGGAGAAGGAAAGGGTAGAGGATGAGGAGCAGAAGGTAGGAGAGGATGGAGATTGATCAGGAGGTGGTGGTTGAGAACGGTGATGAGGAGGGGGGAGGAGGTGTGCCTGGCTGCCGCAGCCGTCCGTCACCACGTAGTTCGGCATGTACCCCTCGCCCACGAGAGGAGGCAACGACGTGGCCCACCCTGTCTGATGCCGCAGCGCGTTGGCGAGGAACGCGAACGTGCTGAAGCCGGACCTAGCAGCGGGAGGCGGGGGCGAGCAGGAGGGGCAGACGGAGCAGGAGGGGGGGGGAGGCTCCAGTGGGCCCTGCCATCCAGGAGGATGGGGAGGGACGGAGGCTGAGGAGGGGCGCCGTTCATCTTCGGAGGGAAGAGTGAGGGGGAGGAGGAGGGAGAAGGAAGGAGCGTGGAGGAAGAGAATGAGGGTTGGTTGGGCGGACCCGGCATTGCAACAGTCTGCTCGTCTTTCTGCTGAAAGGCTCTCACCCCGAGAGCAAAATGGGGACTCTTGTTTAGACCGCCACCCTCCCCAGCGAAGAGAGGCCCAGCCTGAAGTCCCAGGCAGCCCAACGCGCAGAAACGAGAGGGCGGCGGGCGGCGCGAAGCGCTAGAAATCACAATGCGGAAAATCAGGCACATAGGAAGTCGGCAAGGATAGGATCTGATAGAGAAATGTAACCCTCAAAATGTAGTGCAGCTGGCCCGTCTCACCATCCGGAGAGTTACCACCAATTGGGGATCATTATCTGGTCCGGGAACAGTGGGTAGGAATCGAACCGTACGAAGACCGTTAGGCCGACGTGCGATAGCCGTCCTGGAGACCATCACCCGCGAACAGGCTGGTACACCCAAGCGATCATCAGCAAACGCCGCGGCAGAACAGCAAAGCAAATAGCAGATCACCGATGCTAGCTCGTTTCGTCGCTACTCCACTCCACCTTAGGTGGTTCCCAGGGTACACGCATTCGTCGGCAACGTGTGACGCCAAAAGAACGGATAAGCTGGGACACCCCAAAGCCATCACACAGGACCGGCTGCAACACAATGGTATAAGGAAGGAGGGAGGGAAGAGCAGGAAGCAGGTAGAGGGAGGAGCAGAGAATGAGGGAGGGAGGGAGGACGAGGAGGAAGGGAGGAGCGAGAACAAAGGAGGGAGGGAAAAGAAGAGGGATAAGCATGAGGCGGGAGGAAGGCCCTCCACAGCTCCTCCTCCTCCTTCTTCTCCTCCTCCTTGCCTTCTCCTTATAAATAACTCCTCCCTGTCGCACCCCGAGGCTGGTCGGAAAGGCGGACCTGGCGTTTCGTCAGAGACTTCCCTACCACTTGTGACCCTGAAGTTTCAAAATTGGCCACGGCTTCACACATCGAAGGCGGGCCGCTTCTAACATGTGGCTCTCGCGCTGGCGCCGCACACCTTCGTTTTTCAACACTCGCAAAAAGCTAATCAGACTGTGGGCGGGTCGTTTTCAAAATGTGGATCTCGCATTAGCGCCACGCACATTCGGTTAAACGTTTGCCTGCACGTATTGAGGACATGTCGTTTTCAAAATGTGGCTCTCGGTTTAGCGCCGCGTGCATTCGACTTAAACATTTGCGAGAGCTTCACGGATTGAGGGCGGCTCCTTTTCAAAACGTGGCTCTCGCCTTCGCGTCCAGCACGCTCGTGTTGAGCATGTGCAAAGGTTTCACGGGCTCTCATGGTTGGCTTACCAACAATGGTGTTTTGAAAAGACGCAGGATGGTCAGGGCGTAACAGTTACGGTAACTCGCGGTGTTGAAGTCCCAGTAGCGGTGTTCTGGCATGATTCGGGATCGCCAAGACACATGCCATTCGACACGTATGTCCCCAACCCTCGATACCCGCCCTCTTCGTATTCGGTCGTGCCCCCCTTGGGGGTATATCTTCTTTACCAGCCACGCGCAACTGGTGCACCCCCTAAAACAAGGGGTGAGAGGACGGATGGAATGGAGGAGGGAACCAGGAGGAGCGATGAGGATGGAGCACGAGAGAGACTAGCACGAGAGGGGGCCAGGAGCAGAAAGCACGTGGCAGAACCAGAGAGGCAGATCGGGCGGGGGGGCTCTAACGGGCGGTTCAGGAATGGGGGCCCGGGCGGTCATCGAGCAGGCAGGTTGCTAAAGCGCGCGTCCTGTGCCATTCGCGGGGGAATTCCGGAAAAAAATAAAAAAGCCAGACCGAGAGCCTGACTCCTGAGTGTCGAGGGCATGGCGTTTCAATAAATTGCAAGCAAACGCCACGCGAGAGAGCGATTCGGGCATGAATTGTAGCACGTCCCGCGCGAGAGCGCGAATGTCAAATACATTGTGACGAAATATCAAGCGGGAGCCGTTGTTGTTGTAGTCGGGGACCAACCGCGCATTCTGAGCCTCAAGGGTTTCGCTGGTAAAACAACAGCCCCGGGAGGAGCACTTGCGTTGAAAAATATAACGGACACCCGGGAAGATCAACAGTGGGCGGGCCCAGACGGCCGGGACGAGCGGGCGGGTCGCTGAAGCTTCAATTCAACGTGAATCGCAAGGAAGTTTCGAGCGATAGCGCGATTTCAAAGTAAATCGCTGGGAAAGCCAAGCGACAGCGAAATTCTTGAATGTTGAAGGCACGGCGCCGAAATGAATTGCGAGCGAGGAAGTAATAACGAGAGCGCTAACCCTGCATGGTTTGGCAAGTCCTGGTCGAGAGTGCGAATTTGAAACAAGGTATGAAGAAGCATCAGGCGGGCGAATGCTGATTCCTTCTCCTTTCTGGAGAATTATATTCCTTGCTAAAGAATAATTGTACCCGTTGTACCGTTGTTGAATACTCATTTCCAAAGAATAATTCCGGCTGGTGTCTGGAAACGGTTCTGCACGCTCTGGCTTCGATGCTGGCTGCAATTCTTCTGAACACCAGGCTCCCGCTCGAGCGCGGGCTTGATTGTGAATGTGTGTCCTTGGAGGCCCGGCCACAACGACAACGGCTCCCGCTCGATACTTCCTCACAAGTTACCCCGAGACACCCTGGCCAGAGAGGCCACCGAACTCAGGAACGGCGCTCTCGCTCGAGACTTCCTCGCAATTAAATCAAGTTGGCGAGGCCCAGCCACGACAAGAAGGGCTCCTGCTCGATATTTCCTAGCGATTTACTCCGAGAGCCCTTGGCCAGGACGGCCCCCGATCTCAGCAACGGCGCTCTCGCTCAAGACTCTCTCGCGATTCAATCAGATTGTAGGCCCAACTACGATGAAAAGGGCTCTCGCGCAATACTTCCTCAAGATGTATTCGCAGAGGCCCTTGCCAGAGAGGTCCCCGAACTCAAGAGTGGCGCTCTCGCTCCAGACGTCCTCGTAATTCAGGCAAGTTGATGGGGGCCCAGACACGGCGACAAGGGCTCCCTTTCGAATTCTCTCTATTTCCGAGAGCCCCTGGCCAGAGAGTCCTCCGAACTCAAGAACGGCGCTCTCGCTCGAGATATCCTCGCATTTCACTCAGTGGCCGACAAGAAAGAGATTCCCCCCGAAAGGGGGTTTGATCGAAGACGAAGTGGGCGGGTATCGAGGGTTGGGGTATACAGAATGCACGACACGCGTGCAAGTAAGAGCGAACAATATTACAATGATTGGTGTTGTTGTTGTTGTTGTTGTTGTTGTAACTCGGGGGCTAAAGGCGCATTCTGAGCCCCAAGGCCTTCCCTTGTAAAGAAGAAGGTGCAAGCCGCGGGAGGAACACTTTAATTGAAAAAGGCCATGGGCCCCAGGGGGGTCAACAATAACAATTGTTAGACATCAGAGCTCTACAACAACAATCATGTTAAGACTGTTCGTTCTTACCTGCTCGCGTGCCATTCAACGTCGATGCCCGCCCTCTTCGTCGTTTGTACCCCCTTAGGGGTGTGTGTATATATATATATATATATCACCTGCAACGTGTATTTCGTGCAGCCCCTAAGGCAGGCGGGCTGCTGAAGAGTGCGCCCTGCATGAATCGCAAGGACGTCTCGAGCGATAGCGCGATTCCCAAATAAGTCGTGAAGAAATCCACAGCGAGAGCGTGATGACGCGGCGTCTGAATAAGTTGCGAGGAAGTCCCACGTGAGAGCGCGATTCCTGCATAAATTGTGAGGAAGTCCCACCCCGCGCGAGAGCGCGATTTGGGAATGCATTGTGAGGAAGTATGAGGCGGTACCTGTTGTTGTTTTTGTTGTAACTCGGGGGCCAGGGGCCCAGTTTGGTGACACCCAACTTTCCCTTGTAAAAAAACGGGTGCGAGCCCCGGGAAAAGCGCTTTAATTGAAAATGGAATGGTTACCAGGATGGGGGGATCAACGATACTTATTCTTTAGAAATGAGATAGCAACAACAGCAGCAGCAACAACACCACCATCACCACCAACAACATAACAACATAACAACATAACAACAACAACAATAACAACAACAAACAACAACAACAACCATTTTAAGACTGCTCGCACGAATTTCCTAAACCCTCGATACCCGCCCTTTTCGTCTTCGATCGAACCCCTTTTGGGGGGTATACCTTTCTTCCCTGCAGGCCGGGCCCCGGCAAGCGGCGGGGCGGCCGCGGACCGTCGGCCTGGCCAGCGGCAGCGCTGATCGGCGGGGCGGTCGCGGACCGTCGACCCGACTCCAAGAGGGACGGACAGGGGACCGACCACGACGACGACGACGACGACGACGTCGACGACGACGACGACGGCAACGAAGGCGACGGCGACGACGACGACGACGAGCGAAAGCGAGAGCGAGAGAGAACGACAGCAGGGCTACGAAGGACACGAAGTAGGCCACGAAGGGCGACAGCGGGGGCACGAAGGGAATGCGTATGGGGCCACGAAGAGCGCGAACGAGCGTGGGCCACGAAGGGCAGCTAATGCGGGGCCCCAGAAGGCAACGATGGGGCCAATGAGGGTAGCACCTGGGCCACGTAGGACAATGAGGGGGCCACAAGCGGCGACAGCGGGGCCACGAAGGGCATGCACATGGGGCCACAACGGGCGCGAACGAGCGGGGGCCACGAAGGGCATACGTAGGTTGGGCCGCGGAGGGTAAGGATGGGGCCACTGAGCGCAGCAACGGGGACACGCAGGGCAGCGAGGGAGCCACGAAGGGCGACAGCGGGGCCACGAAGGGCATGCATATGGGGCCACCACGGGCGCGAACGAGCGGGGGCCACGAAGGGCATACATATATGGGGCCACGAAACAAAGCGAGGGGGCCACGAAGGGCTGCAACGGGGCCACGAAGGGCAGCGAGGGGGCCACGAAGGGCGACAGCGGGGCCACGAAGGGCTGGAACGGGGCCACAAAGGGCAGCGAGGGGGCCACGAAGGGCTGCAACGGGGCCACGAAACAAAGCGAGGGGGCCACGAAGGGCTGCAACGGGGTCACGAAGGGCAGCGAGGAGGCCACGAGGGGCTGCAACAGGGCCACGAAACAAAGCGAGGGGGCCACGAAGGACTGCAACGGGGCCACGAAGCCAAGCGAGGGGGCCACGAAGGGCTGCAACGGGACCACGAAGGGCAGCGAGATCCCGATTCCTAGGTAATCTGTGAAGGAGTCCTAAGCGTGAGCGCGACTCCTGGGTGCCTGGGTGTCGGGAGCGCGGCGCTGAAGTAAATTGCAAGAAATGCCAACGCAAGGGCGCTATTCTTCAGTAAATTGCAAGCAAGTCTCCAGCGAGAGCGCGACTCCACAGCGCAGGAGGAGCGAATCCTGAATAAATCGTAAGGAAGTCCCAAGCGAGAGCGCGATTCTTGAATAAAGTGCGAGGAAGTCTCGGGCGGGAGCGGGGGCCCTGGCTAAATTTTGAGGAAGTCTCAAGCGGGAGCCGTTGTTGTTGTAACCAAGGGGCCAGGGGGCCAGTTTGAGCAGGAAGACTTTCCTTGACAAAAAACAGGGTGCGAGCCCCGGGGGGGGCACTTCAATTGAAAAAATCAATGTGCACCGGTGGGGGGATCAACAGTAATTATTCTTCAAGAATAAGAATTCAACAACAGCAACAACAACAACAACAACATCAACAACAACAACAACAACAACAACAACCACAACAACAACAACAACAACAACAGCAACAACAACAACAACAACCACAACCACAACAACACCAACAACAACAACAACAACAACAATCATTTTACCCGAACGCGTGGTGTTCTCCCCAGTGCCAGGGTTTTCATACGACACCAGGCAATACCCCCACTTCGTGGGGGGGCATTACAAGCTCTACCAAATATCCAAACGACTCTTCGCGACCACCCAACCCAGCTTCCCGCCCTATGACGTTGGGACACTTCACTTCGTGGCATGCGGACGACCGTGGCTACTATTCAGGGCCCCGCGGCCGACGACGACGGCGTGCGCGCGCGAAGAAAAAACGAATGTGTCCCGCATGGTATTATTTGACAGGGATGATGGCCCTGGCAGGTGCGCAACCGTTGTCGCAGAAGTTCGAAAAAGTTGCTCGCAAAAGCCCGTTTGACAGAAATGTTTAAAAAGTGTTGGGTTTCCTACGAATCCGCAAGAGCGCGCGGGATGAGATTTTGACATTTTTTTGTTGAAAAACCATTGGTTTTTTGATGTTTTTATGTTAAAATCGCTCCGAACACTAAGCTTTTGGAAGGATTTCGTCTTGCGCGCGCGAATGTCCACTTTACCTTATTTTTTGCAAGGGATTCTTGAAATTTGATTATATTAGAACAAGAAATGTCATTTTATAGTGTTTTTTGCAAGGGAAAGCGGGGGGGAACAAAACAACCGGATCTTGATCACATCGAATTACCTGAGGCTTCCTCACGAAAATGATGAAAATGTAGCTGCGGCCTAGGCGGCGCAGGGGGGCCGTGCACCAGGGGTCCCAACAATAATTATTCTTTAGAATTAATAATGTTCAACGACAACAACAACAACGACGACAGCACCAACATTAACAGCAACCACAACCCCAACAACACCACCACACACAACAAAACAACACCAACTACGACAACAACAGCAACAAACAACCAGAACATCAACAACATCAACACCACTAGTACCAACAAAACAACAACATTATCATCATCACCATGAAGAGCAACAGCAACAGCAACAACAGCAGTAGCAACAACAACAGTATAGAGGGAGGAGAAGGAAAGGAGGAGGAGGAACAAGAAAAGAAGGAGGAAAGAAACGACTGGGGGCGACGGGGAATAGGAGGATGGGGGAAGGAAACGAGGACGAGAGAGGACGAGACGGTGAGAATGGCACAGGGGCAGAGAGAGGACAACGAGGAGGAGGAGGAGGACAACGAGGATGAGGATGAGAAGGAGGAGGAGGAGGAGGAGGATGAGAAGGAAGACGAAGGAGGAGGACGAGGAGGAGAGGGTCTCACGCTGAACGGCCGCTCCCCCTGATCGAGCGAGCGGGAGCCCCAGCAGGCGCGAGCCGGGGCCCGGACGTGCCGACCACCAGCCGCACGAAGAGCGCCGCCCTGGATATCAGCAGCGCCTCGGCCATGGCGTCGACGGCGCCCTGGCTACTCCGTCGGTTGCGCTCGAGGTTCGGCATCGTCAGCACCCTCCGCAGGCCTTCGGGCAGGAGTAGCCGCTCCCCATCTCCACTGGCGTGGCCCTGGCCCCGTTGGCCGACTTACCCACCCAACTGGGGATACCGGCCTGGTTCCTCGGGTTTCGCGGAGCCTGTCCCCACCTGGGGTGGGCTGGCGGGGCTGAGATACCATAGCTCACTGGGGACCGAGACCCTCGACGTGGTGGTGTCTCAAGACGTGGACCCCGAGCGGTCTGGACCCATTCCCTGGGACCAACTTTTCATCCCGAGTCGTTTCTTGACAGGCCCGAGGGCCAGTAAGGGCTCTCAGGAACCGAAACTAGCGAAACAAATCTCGTCATGATTTGTTCATAGCCCGGGGGGGGATGGAGATGGGTTCGACGCTGCTGGGGGGGCTGGACTGATTTGGGGCGGCTGGGACCGACTGGACCGATTTGGACGCTGCTGGGAAGTTCCCAATTCCCAGTTCCCCGTTCCCGTTCTCAATTCCCGGTTCCTGGATCCCGGTTCCCGTTTCCCAGTTCCCGGTTCCCAGTTCCCGGTTCCGGGTTCCTGGTTCCCTGTTCCCGATTCTCGGTGCCCGGTTCCTGTCACTATTGCTCCATGGTGGGAGGAGGAGGAGAAGGAAGAGGACGACGACGAGGAGGAGGAAGAAAAGGAGAAGGGGAAAGGTGGGGATGGGGAGGAAAGGGAGGTGGAGCGAGGAGAGGTTGGAGGAAAAAGGGGGGCAGGAATGATGAGGAAAGGGGTGGGAGGAACGGGGGGTAAAGAGGAGGGATGATATTTTCAAAATGGGTATTTCGTTTGAGCCTTCCGCGAACGTGAAGATCATGCGCTGGTCTTCCCAGGGGGAGTGGATTGCAGCATCGTTGATGCATCGTGGATTTTCTCTGGTCCTCCTCCTCCTCCTCCTCACCCTCCCCTTCTTCCTCCTCCTCCTCTTCCTCCTCTTCCTCCTCCTCCTCCTCCTCCTCCTCCTCCTCCTCCCCCTTCCTAATGCGACTGCTCCGAATGCTCCGTTGGGCGGCCGCCCGATCCCGAGCGGACGCCGCGACGGCACGCGACCCCCAGTGGGCTGAGTCGACCTCCCCGAAGTCGATGTCCTCGAGGTATGCAAGGGGCAGGGTCAACAGAAGGCTTTGTGATACCCCGACCACTGCAAGCGGGGCAGGGTCACCCGCAGGCTGGGACACCCCCGTCATGTCAGCCAGTATAGAAAATTACCACCAGCCAAAAGACAAGACATCATAAGTAACTGCCCAATCGCGGCACCGTCTCGGCAACATGCACCAGAGACCACTCCCCAAGACAGAAGCACTCGTTGAGCACACCAAAGCCATACCAGACGCATGCATGGATCAGGATCACCTTAAAGGCATTGTGACACCCCGGGCAGGATCGCCCGAAGGCTCTGTTTCATCCCTAACATAAACAGTGTAGTCTGTCACTGCCAGCAGTAAACGACACAACACATCTGGATGAATCTGCCGCACTTGAACTGACGCCACAACATAGTTAATCCAGCGCCGAAGCCACGGATAAACATCGAACGCAACAAAGCACCCACCTTGCATCTGCATCGCAATATGAATAGCCAGTGCGTAACATACCCACCGAAAGAAAAAACATACAAAAACGCACAGTACTGCCTCATCTACGCTTTGATGTCTGCGGGGCACTCCAGAGACCCTGGTTTGGCAAACCGCAAAATATACTTGGCTGCGTTCTTTCGCGTCGCCGGATCTCGTGCTGCACCAGGACAAGCTTTTCTGAGCCTGGGAATCTGGGTTGCGACATCACCACTCGGCCGCGCACACATCGTGCAAACACAAGCCAGTCCATGCCACTGCAACGCGTGTTCTTGACTTGCGAAGACTTTGCGCGCAGCTTGCTGTGGCGCCGACAATGAGTCAACAACCATCTTCTCAGGCAACGCACCCGCGTCCCCATCGACGCCAGTGACTGCAATCTGACAAGCCTCACTGCGCATGGGCTGGGGCGCCATACCCCCGCAAACGCCGCAACAGACGTTTGACTGTGACCGCCGCAATTCCGTAGGCTCGCATTGCATTCGCATATTACCGAGATGAGTCGCAATGCGAGCCCTCGCGCTGCATCGCCTAGACCTCCATTCCTGTAGCAAATCAAACAAGCAAAAGTGGTAGACGCACACCGTGACCTGAGACTTATACTCTTTCTGTGGTCGAGGAGGTCGCACCCCTTTGTCCCACAACTGCGCCTAGACTACCATGCGCAACGTAAACCCAGGGTACCTGGCCATAAGCTTTGCTTGCGATAGCGCGCACTTGAATCAGCCGCAGTAACCTTCAGCGCATCCACAACCTCGGGACCCGAACTTCGCGAAGCAGTCTGTCCATGCATTTCCCAGCGCCCAATGGTAGTTGGCGGGGCCCAGATCAATATGTGACGGGCGCAAGGCAAAGCTAGGTGGCTTCAGATCATTTGCCGCGGCTCCTGGACGCATGGCGCCCTGGCGCGCCGCGCGCCTCGCTCCCGCCGCAGCGCCAGCGACATTACATCGAGAGCCTTCCGAGGCAAGCGCAGCCAAATCAATGATAGCCAGCCCCAAACGAGGCAGATGCCGCAATGCCCAATATGCGCAATGGCTCTCAGCAAAACCAGCCGTCTGTCGCGCCCCAGGTAGTCCTCGGTGATTAACCCTCGCTTGGTACCTCTCCACAACAATACGCGCACCTTCCCATCCGCAACGCCTCAATTCAGGGATGCTCGATGGAATGGCAGGCCCATCAATGAAAACGACGCCAGGCCACCCCGCTGGCGAACTGCGCCAATCACCCCAGAACTAGCAGTAACAACTTCGGGCCCGAAGTTGCAACAACTTCGGGCCCGAGGTCGCACGCTCAATGCCTCCTGGTAGCTGCGAGATGCCAGCGCTGATCTCGAAGCGTTCGTCGGTCGCGCAAGGCCCTTGAATCGCGCCGTGCTTTTGCACCGAACCCCGAAACCCACAGTTCCTCTGGTATCGAGTGCTCCTACCCGTCGTCGATCAACCACTCGTTCGCCGCGTCGCACTTGGAACAAACGCGGCCAATAGTTTGTCTCTCCTCGGCACCCGCGGCATAATGCATTGACGCCTTCCTATGACCGCAGAGCTTCACCTTCGCCCGCAACGGCCCATGCCATAAAACCCGAACAGATCCCGCAACTCTGGCGTTGACCAACGTAGCCGAAAAGGCCCCCCGCACGTGCCCTGAGCCCCCTGTCCCACGCCGCCGCGGACTCGTTAGCTTGCGGATGGTGGGCAGCAGCGCCAGCCATCTGCCACCTTTGAATGCCAGCGCGTGGACGGCACTGACCGCGGCCCCACGGCCTGCCAATAATAGAAATCCTGTTATCCACAGATTCGCCGCTGTCAATCCCACCGCGCGCTTGAAACCCTGCGCCCGCTCCAACCTGAGCTTGGAATAGCAGATCCATGCAACTCGCGCCCCAGGTTGCGCATGCGTTCTGTTGTTGGCATCTGACAAAAATATGCCTAGCGCCCCAGCGCTGAGATTTCTGCTTCGACGCAAGTGCAAATCTAAGCTTCCTGGCCTGGATCGAAAAGAAAAGCCTTTCAGGGCAGACCAGAAGAACCGCGGCCTCTGCAGGCGGGGGCCCACCCATTGCGCAGACACATCATCAACCAGCGCGCGAGGTATACGATCATCACGCGCCCAATCTGCGCACCGCCCTCGCTGTCAAGATCGCCGGCATCGCGGTGGACTGACTGGGTCCTGCAAGGACCGCTTGCCACGATTGCTCAAACTCAGACAAATAACAATAACCTTTGACTACGCGCGTTCGAAGGTGCCATTGCAACGTCGCCCACGCAAGCGAAACAGGGGAGCACCCCAACCGACTCTGATCCCAAAGCGCCAAGGAATTGACCGACTTAAACGCCGCCCATGCGTCCAACAACGCTTTAACATAATGCGCTTTAAGCAATGTCGCCATCACTGCATGGATGTGGCGAGCCACTGCCGATGCCGATGAAGATCTTCCAGCGCCACCAGCACCCCGAACATTGGGAATTCCAGCCCGCTTCAACCAGCTCTTAGAAATGACCGACCGCACTCTCGGCCAATGTCTCAACGCTGAATTGACCGAGATATCAATATACTGCCGCTATCAAGCTTAGCCAAACGCACCGACGCGCTCACAGCACGTCCAGTCGGCCACCAGCATGCGCACTCGCAGCGGTGAGATGAAAGAGACGGAACCTCCGAGCCGCCGTTCGAGACAAGCCACAGCGCCCGCGGCGCGGCGCCAGTCAATCCAATAGCCGTGCGCGCATGAAAGGTAAGCGTCGCATCTCTTAGACCTAAAACCGTAATCAGACATTAACGCTCCCATTGAGAGGAACCGCCAGGTCGCGCAGGAACCGGAAACCCATGACACTCCCATATTTTTCGCCGCGTCTGGAGTTCGCGATATGCCGATCCACGTGGGCTGCCGGAGACCATGGCCCGCGCCCTCTCGGGCCCCTGCGCCACCTCGGTAAACCGGCGTGCTGTCCTCGCCCCCGCGTGAAAGACACATCAACCCACTCCCTCCATGCCTTGTGCTTTTCTGCTAACATGCGTTTCGTCTGCCCCCACTCCTGCATCTCGATGCTGCCCGAGATGTCTGCGAAGTCGCCCCGCAGGAAAAATCACTGGTCCACTCGGGAAAAAAAAACACCGCATGTCACGCGGCAACATCTTTCAGCGCGCGATCGCGCGCCGAAAATCTACTCGGTGGAAGATCGGCTCCTCTGATGGCATTGACGATGTGGACGCGCTGCAGTTTCGACGCTTTGCACGGCGCACTGGCCGCCTGCAACCGTTGACCGCATTCCACGATATGTAGTTGCGCGCGATGCAGAAAGACCCGCCATCTAGCCGCAACCTGCCAGCAGTTGACCCCGAACGACCCGCGTTTTCGCTTGCGAGGAGGACGCCGCTCCGCAGCGCCCCATCTCCACGCTGCAGCTCCAGACCTGCCCAAGTGCTGATGAAAGTGAGCTCCTCGATGTTGCCAGCGCTCACCTGGCCCCCCCTGGACATGTTGTAGCGCGGCATCCCGAGCTATCTGTAGAGAGGGCTCAGTATGCACCAGCTGCGCTAACTCTGGAGACTTCCACGGTTCTTTGCACCGGGGATAAGATGGGCAGCCGATCGGCGGCGTCGCCGAAAAGCCCAGCGGTTCCACCGAGACTCTCTTCCACGTCGGTGCATCAATAATCA